CATTTCATTTCATTTCATTTCATTTCATTTCATTTCATTTCAAGAGAAAGAGACACGGAGAGGGTGGGAGTGTGGGGAGTGGTGGGAGGTGTGTGCGGGAGGCTTTGATAGAAGAAGAAGAAGAAGAAGAAGAAGAAGAAGAAGAAGAAGAAGAAGAAGAAGTAGTGACTGTTTTTTTTAGCCTTTTTTTGTTGAAGTGGTGTTAGCTCATATGCTCTCAACTCGACTCTGATGGCCACTTTGTCCAGATCAATCCCCTCTATGAATGAGATGAGATTAGCATTTATTGTAGTCTTTTTGTTTTTGTTAAGTTCTGCATCATTTCTTTGTTAGTGTTTCAAACTGTTGTTCGGAACGTCAACCCTCCTTAACTTTTGTCATTTTTCAGTGAACAGGTTTATTTTTAACTCTTATATATTTTCTGTGTAATGTCCAGTTTTGCTTTCTATAAAAATGAGAGAGCAGACTTTTCTTCATGTGATCTGCTCATCACAGATACCATCTGTTGACCAACTTGTGATGAGATGTGGCTTGTTTCAGTAAGATTTCTGTCATCCATCTTCCCTAGAATCAAGCACCCAAACATTGTTTCACTGGAAGACATCTTTGAGAGTATGTCTCATCTATACCTTGTCATGCAACTGTGAGTAGCCCTTCTTCCTTTTTCATCTATCTATGGTCTAAATCAAAGAGTGTCCATCATTTCTCTGCAGATGACTGGATGACTGTAGAAGCAATTAAAATAAAAATCTTTGTCTTACTACTTTAGTGAAAAATACCCATAAAAAAAAAATATATATATATATATATATATATATATATATATATATATATATATAGCTAACTTGTCCTGCTGGGGAAACATACACTGCAAAATCCAGGCATTTAGCCATCATAGACACCCACACATGTGAAAAATAGCAACAAAATGCAGCCTAAACAGTGGAGATGCTCAGAAATGCATCACAGTGCAAAGTTTTTGGTAGGTGTAAAAAAAAATGTAGTCATATACTAAACAATTTTGGAGATACCAGCCTTTACCTTTAAATAGGACTGGTTTTTATAGGTAAAATTAGGGGATGTGAAGGATTCTAGTTACGTTTTTGACAACCCAATTATACCAGATAATCATTGAGAAATAGTCATGAAGTGAAACTCAGACTGTGGCTAGCTCAAGAACAACAAAACTCTGCGGCTAAAGAAAGGTTGTGAAAGACAACATGTCCAGGGTTATACAACATACCAAGAGCTAGCAGTCAAAAAAAGAAAAGGTAGTTATTTAAAATTTCAAAGCAGACAAGAGGTTACAAGATGTTCTTCTAAAAGGACCTTTAAACCCCCCCCCCAAAAAAAAAAACTAAGTTTGAGATTTAACCAGAAAAGTAATTACTTTCTCAGCGCAGGACTGTGGTTCAGAAGCTTTTTAAATGAATAAAATCATTTGAGAACCATTTCTGATTTGAATCTATGTCTGTATGATATAAAATTTTGTTTTATGATCTGAATGACGTAAGTGAGACCAAAAAAAAAAGCAAATTCAAAAGCAATTTGAAAAGGAATTAATACTTTTTCAGAGCTGACTGTGTCAGCTTTTCTACAACTACTTTTACCTTCAACCATGTTCCTAATAAACTAGCTCACATTCACATATTTTTCCACCTCTGTTGTCAGATTGTAAATGAAGTCTGGGATTCAAATTAAATAGAGCCTCATTAAGACCACGTTTTAGATTGCAGTCGCTCTCAAAGCCCTCCAAGCTGATTTTAAACCCCGATTTCATTTAGGCAAAACATCAGCTCAGTAATCCCCCACTTACATAATCTGAAGACATCTGCCCTGTTAATTTGGCTGTAGTCACTAGTATGATGGCCCGGGGAGAAAAGTCACAGTATTAAAACGCTCCTTTTTTTTTTCTCTCTGCAAGCTGAGATCTGATTTATTTGCAAATGCTAAACAATCTGTGATGGCAAAACTCCACATACAGTAAACTTTCATTTTAGAGATGAAACTGCTTCATTTTGTAAACTTAAAATGACTGGAAAGGCATGAATTTGATTAGGGGTCTCAGAGAGGATTATGTGAAGATTTAAACAAGATACTAAAAATGAGCTAAAAAAAAAAAAAAAAAAAGATTTCACAAAATTTTTTAATAAGATAATTTTTTTTCTATTTTTAAATATTGTACTTATGCCACTCATAAACCTTACGTAGTGCTTATGTAATTGATGTTGTGAAAAAATTAGGACATACCATTAATATTCAGTTCATCAGGAAATCTTCATATGATATGAAATAAAAGAAATTTATTTGCACTTAAATCATAAAAATAACTTTCTTTTAATCAGGAAAAGCAAACAAAAAACAAAAAACAAAAAAACAAATCAGCAGCATACATTTTGTCACTGAAGAAAAGCTTAAAAAGTTATTTTAGAAAAGTAAGCTTTTTATTTTTTTTTTTAACATACTTTTCTTTTTGACAGAGTTTCTGGTGGCGAACTTTTCGACCGGATTGTGGAGAAAGGGTTCTACACAGAGAGGGACGCCAGCCAGCTCATCCACCAGATCTTGGATGCTGTAAAATATCTCCACGATATGGGAATCGTCCACAGAGACTTGAAGGTACCTTCTTCCATAAAAGACAGACGCGATACCTTCGCCTCTGGTTCTCAAACTGTAACGCCGGTCCCACGTTGTTGTGTTTGCAGCCAGAGAATTTACTGTATTACAGTATGGACGAGGACTCCAAGATCATGATCAGTGACTTCGGTCTGTCGAAGATCGAGGGAGCGGGCAGCGTCATGTCCACGGCGTGTGGTACGCCTGGTTATGTGGGTGAGGAGCCCTTTCTCTGGTCATTCAGATTCTCTTCACCTTCTCCTCTCATTTCTATGAGAGCTGCTACAGCTGACATCTCCTTTTTACTCAATGGACTGTAAGAGGCTCTTTATCCACTCTTCTTCAGAAGAGTGAAGAGCTCTGTTCCTGCTTAGAGTCACCTGTTAGATCATACCGTTTTGCTGAAAGGTCAAGATTACTTACATCTTGTGTATTTTTTTCACTCTCTGTGTCTTGTGTTTGCTTCACAGCCCCCGAAGTGCTCGCTCAGAAACCATACAGTAAAGCCGTGGATTGTTGGTCCATAGGAGTTATCTCTTACATTTTGTGAGTTGATTTCTTCTGTTTACTTTTCAATTGAACCTTTTTTTGTTTGTTTTAAAGTAAATGATCACGTTGTAACTTTGTTCCCCCAGACTCTGTGGATATCCTCCGTTTTACGACGAAAACGATGCCAAGTTATTTGAGCAGATTCTGAAAGCAGAGTATGAATTCGACTTGCCATACTGGGATGACATCTCAGATTCAGGTGCTTCCAGAATATTTACAGTGGACACAACAATTGCAAATGCTTTTGTAATAACATGAACCTACATTTTGTTGGCAGCCAAAGACTTCATCTGTCATATGATGGAAAAGGACCCCATGAAGAGGTATACCTGTGAGCAGGCTCTCCAACATCCTTGGTAGGGAACTTTTGGTATCTGTTTTAAATAATGCTGCAACTTTTCTGTGCAGGAAGGCCAATGGCAAAAAAAAAAAAAAAGAAATGCTTTAAGTTATATTTTTAATTTCACTATGAAATTTAAAGGTTTTTGTTTTGGGGGAAATTAGATTAAGAAAAAGAGTAAAGTTAAGATGAGCCTAGACTACAATATGGGATTTGTGGCCTGTTGAGGTCATTTTAAATTCAATTCAGGGTCACTTTAGGGTTTTCTTTGAGAAATCTACTTTTACTAACCCAAAAACAGAACATTTTGCTCAAATTGTGGTTACTCACTTTGGATATGAGTTGGTTTTGATACATTGACGTTGTAAAAGCTGCAGGTTTAATCTGTGCGCCGCAGTCCTGACTGTTCTAAATCCCCTTTTGAATTAAATGAGCCGCAAAAATGAAAAGTGGAGATATTGCAAACGTCCGAGGTCATTTTCTGCCATCCAAACTCTGCCCTGGATGGCAATTAGATTGAAATTGTTTCAACATGAACATTGTTTAAGATTGAGGCATTTCACTTAAGAAACACAACTAATATTAGTTGTAGCCCATTAATCTCTAATTGGAGCAAACTTTAGAATTAACAATCTCTGTTTTAGGTAGATATGGATTCACTCAGATGAGAAGCAACTCATAAAATTATGCTCAAAGAAAGAAGGTGCAGGAGAAAAAAGAAGGCACTGCTCACAGACTACCAGGTTTCATTTATTTATTCTTTTCCTGGCATTCATTGGTTGAGAAAAAGTGATTTTATGCTCTTGAGCTCTAATCTGCAAACCTAATCTGTTAAAGGGCAGATTAGGTTTGTCGCATATGTTACTGTGGTGACAGAGCCAGGTAAGAAACGAGCCCTCTCTGTGGTGCTGAAAATCCTGAACTGATTTCAAAAGCACAGGAAGGTCCAAGGTCAGTATGCAGATTACAAATCAACACTTTAAAGAGATCAATGGCGAGAGACAACGAAAAGAGTAGGAAGAGTCATAAATGATGGTTTCACCTCTATTCTTCTCCCCCGTCTCAGAGTTACATTGGTCTTCCACAAAAGTAATATTGATCAGAGATATTTGCTGATCAACAACATTCACAAATGAAAATCATTGAACTCAGGTGACACCTTCAGTGGCCACAGGTGTACAAACTCTATCTCTGAGGTTTTCTGACTGCTTCTACAAACATTTTTGGAAACAGGACTCAGAAAGTTAGTGAAGTTAGTGAAAACAATCACTCAGCTACAAAGTGAGTAAAATCACACAAAGGGGTCAATGATTGTTAGACGCGATGACGGAGATTTCAGATTTTCTGCTGAGTCCTCCAAACTTCATGCGGCCTTCGGATTGGCTCAAGAAAAGTTTGTGAAGCCTTTTCACTCTAAAAGTGAAACAATTAGATGATTATTAAGACAAATGTCAATAGTCTGCTGTGTTAAATTCACTTGTGATGAGCAAACTCCCAGCGTCCATGTTGCAAAAGTCCCTTTAATGTCTCCTGTTTTATTTTTATTTATTTGTTTTCTCAGGATATGTGGTGACACAGCCCTGGACAAGAATATCCATGAATCTGTCAGCGCTCAAATCAAGAAGAACTTTGCCAAAAGTAAATGGAAGGTCAGTCAACAAACTGCGAACGGAGCAGATTTAGGTCCAGCAGCAGTTGGATTACATGATATATATATACACCACACACATATACATTTAGTGTTTTGGATTGAGGTATAAAACTGCACACACTCCTTTGGATGTACAGAAATTAGTCACCACCTGGCAAATTTCCGCACCTTGACAGACCTAAAATGTCCCTCTAGCTCCCCTCACATTTGTGTTATTGAAAACAGCCTCCCTACGATAAAAAGTCCAAGAGACCCCAGCACAAACAAGCCTGAGAAGTAGCAGCAATATCATCTCTTTCTCTCTCTCTCTGTCTCTCGTTATCTATCTTTCTTTCTCTTGAACCCAAAGCAGGCATGCATAAAATCTACACCTCCCCTGGTGCAGTTAATGAAAACAATTGAACTCATGCAGACAATTGCTCTGGCACTGCTAGGCTAGAGAAGGAACTTTGGGGCCATTGCAGAATAGTTGAGTTTAATTATTTTTGGTTTTGGAATATTGACTCAACATAAAAGCAGACACTCACTGATGACAAGTGTAAAGCAACCGAATCTGACTGCTTAATGTTTCTGTCAGTCATTGCATTTTCTATAAACTTATGACTAAGTCTTGTCACTATAAACATGTTATACCTTTGTATCCTGAAGGTGTTTTCAAGTAGACAAATCTCTCTGTGTTCTTGTATATGAGCCTGCTGTTCCTGCTATTTTTAGGCCAGCTGTTTAGCCGTCTTCCCCCCAGAAATATATAGTTTTTACTAAAGCCTCCATGGGGGAGATGATGATGCCCTGGTTTATACGGCGTCTCTGCAGAGAAAAAAGTTAAGAAAATGACTTAATTTCTTAAAGCTGGGAAAGAGCAGAGGTCGTAACTTTTCTTAAAAACAAACATAGCCATAATTCGTCTTCATCTGCTCATGAACTGACCCATAATGTTCCCTTCTCTCTCTGCTGTGTGTTAGGATCTTCAGTGATCAACAGATCACTTTTCTACCAAAATCAGAATATTTTGTTGGTTTCCTAAAATTATTTTTGTTTTAGTTTACTGTTGAGCAGGTAAAATAATGAGATTAATATTACAACATAAAAAGGATTTTCAAGTAAACAGTTTTTCTCCATGTGACAAATGATGAAACGTCCCAGCTGTAACCGTAACACACTCAGAAGTTTGCTGACATGCCTCTTTTTGTATCTTTTGTTTAGAGGCAACTTTCTGTTACACACCAGTATGACTGTGTGGGAGTTTGTCATAAATAATTTAATGTAACCTCTAGTGGGCTACACCATCTGTGATTTTTGCCATTTTCACTTCACTGTTCAGTTTAAAGAATCTTGTCATATTTATTGGTGAAGTTTTTATGTGCAAAATATATATATATATATATTTCATATACAGCTTAGAAAAAAAACACACAAAAACATAATCACTGGTAAAACAGAACAATAAGAACAATGTTAATGTAAGACTATTTAGTCATTTGAATTGATTTACAAAATATGCATGATAGCATCTGTCAAAAATAAATCGTCCAACTCTGTGAATGTACTTTTGTGTACATTTATTATTCAGTTCTTTATGTAACTCTCCACAGACACTTATTGCTAATTAGTTGGCCAACTTCATTTTTCTTACATTTTCCTTACTGGGGCATATTTGGCATAATGTTTCAGTCAGCCTGTTATATATATATATATATATATATATATATATATGGTTTTTTTTTTTTTTTTGTTTCCTTGTATTTTTGGCTTCTGCAGCAAGCATTCAATGCCACGGCGGTGGTGCGACACATGCGGAGGCTGCAGCTGGGCACCAGTCTCGAGGGACCGAGTCAGATTACTCCCACCAGTCCCTGCCATGGACATCTGCTCCCAGAGGAGGAGGTGGAGGAAGAGGAGGATGAACTGGGGAACGAGGAGGAGGAGAGCTGTAAGTCAGCAGCTCATAGTTAACGAGCAAATACAACTTCAAACCGGCCACTGCTGTATGTGGTTAATAGAAGAATCTTGCCAAAATAGGTGCTTTGTGAAGGTGCCTCCAAAGACTTTTTCAGAGTATTTTTTTAAGAGATGAAGTCTTTAATTTTGCTTTTGCACAGTGGAGTGCACACCTCAGTTAGAAATCATTTTTTTGACATTTCAATTAAGTCTATGATAAATAATGTCCATATTTTCTTTATAAAGTTATAAATTAACTAAAGAAATGAATAAAAATGTTAGGTGGGAAAAATAACCTTAAACTAATCCTTTGCTGAAATATCTTTTGATTTAATTTTAATCATTTAAAAAAAAAAAAAAAAAAAAAAACCTTAACTTTTTCCTTTTTTCTGGTTTTTTTACCTGCTGAACTGGGAGGGAAACACGGGAT